GTGAGCTAGGGGAGGGGGAGAGGGAGAGAAGCAGACTCCCCGCTGAGCACAGAGCCCAACACAGAGCTCTATCTCAGGACCTTGAGACCATGACCTGAGCTGAAATCAAGAGTCGGACACTTAACGGACTGAGCCATCCAGGCACCCCTCTTTAGTATTTTCTATACACAAGATCATGTCATCTGTGAGTAGATGTAGTAGTTTTATTTCTTCCTTTCCAATCTGGATGCCTTTTACTTTGTATTTATTGCTTAATCATCTGGCTAAAACCCCCAATACAATATTAAATAGAAGTAGCAAGAGTAGACATCCGTGTCTTGTTCCTTGTCTTTTTCTTGGAGAGGATTATCTAGTCTTTCACCATTAAGCATGGTATTAGTTGTGGGTTTTTCACCAATGCTTTTTATCAGCTTGGGAATGGCTGCCTGGCTTTGTAAATAAAGTTTTATTGGAACACAGACATTCCATTCATTCATGTATGGTCTATGGCTAATTTGAACTATAATGACAGAGTTGAGTAGTTGTAACAGAGACCATATGGCCTGCAAATCTAAAATATTTACCATCTGGCCCTTTAAGAAAAAGTCCACTGACATCTGTTTTAAACTGCTAAATTTTGGGAGAGTTTGCTGTGAAACAATGTATAACTAAAACAACTCCCAGTCTTTTGACTAGAACCTAAAAGAACTGCAACATTGGGTAAGGAGGAACCATAAATAGACAAACCCTCCCACAGACTGTTGTCCAGCTTCAGGTCATCTGGGAAAAATCAAAAGCCCTGAAACTGACACTAGCTTGCTAGTGTCCCCAAATGCTTGCAGAAACAATGGAAATCCTTTTGGGAGGAAGATATTGTTATTGTGGCCTCAAATGATTTTTCAAATACAATGTCCAAAATATAACCAGGTACATGAGGAGATAAAACAACATGAGGAAGAACCAGTAGTAAAAACTGACAATTGAAGCAGACCCACAGGGTCTCTAGATTGAAATTAACAGATACAAGCCATAAAACAACTACACTTTCTCTTTTTAAGGAGAGGAAAGCTGAGACTTGAAAATTATAGCAAGTCACAAAGAGATATAAGAAGTGACATAGCAGATCTGAAAGACTCAAATAGAAATTTTAGAACTAAAAAAAAAAAAACCAAACCAAAAAGCAAATTAAGAGCTTGATGGATGGGGTTAAAAGGAGAATTTTTTTTATTTTAATTTTAATTAATTTATTTTTTAAGATTTTATTTATTTATTTGACAGAGAGAGAGACAGTGAGAGAGGGAACACAAACGGGGAATGGGAGAGGGAGAAGCAGGCTCCTTGCTGAGCAGGAAGTCCGATGAGGGGCTCCATCCCAGGACCCTGGGATCTTGACCTGAGCCGAAGGCAGATCCTTAATGACTGAGCCACCCAGGTGCCCCGAGAATTTTTTTTTTTTTTTAAAGTAGACTCCACGCTCAATGTGGGGCTTGAACTCATGATCCTGAGATCAAGAATTTTATGTCAGGCGCCCCAAGAGAATTTTTTAAAAAGCTGAAGACAGAATTAGTGAAGTGAAAAACAGTCACAAGAAACTTTTAGAACAAGGCATTGAAGGACAAAAGATAGAAAAAATAAATAAAAGAAAGGGATGTAGTGAGAAGGTCTAATAGGTATTTCAACCGGGGGCTCAGAAGGAAAGAAGTACAGAAACAGTGAACATACAATGGCTGAATTTCTTTTAAAATTAATGAAAAATTATGCAGATGTGATAAGCAGCCATGAAATGACATATATTCACTCCACTATGTGTTCTGACTCTTAAAACAGTGCATCCTTGGGGTGTCTGGCTGGCTCAGTCCCTAGAGCATATGACTCTTGATCACAGGGTCATAAGTTCAAGCCCCATGTTGGGTGTAGAGCTTACAACCCCTAGTATATCCTTCCTGTACAAATCTGCCTTTGAAAGGATTCTGAAACGAGCATAAAGGTAGCTCCATAGCTGATGGAATAGGGCTTGTGTGGGCTGAGTTCAAATATAAGCTTTGCCACTCCCTGGTGTGCTACCTGTAGAAGGTTGCCAAACTTCAGTTTTCTCGGCTAATAAATAGGACTACAGGCCTACCCCACATTGTCATTGTGAGAATCAAGTGATACAGCGCACGTGAATAAACCTAGTGAACGCTAAGTCCTTTAAAAATGAGATATGGTTTGAGCAGGATCACAACATTCCCAGGGGCACTAACAGTGACAGGTAGGACTGGCTACAAAATTTGCAGGTCCCAGCGCAAAATGAAAATGCAATCCTGAAAAATTATTAAGAATTTCAAGACAGTGACAGCAGAGCATGAAACCAAGCTCAGGTCACACCCCCCTGAAGCCAGCCTTGGTAACAGGCCCTGCAAAGAACCGCTCTGTGCATTAGGAAAGGGCTGTCCGTCCCACACCCAGGTGTCTGCAGCCATAGCCCACGTTATCTTTGAGTTCTGAAGGGCAGCAGTGTTTGGGGAAATTGCAAGCACACGTGTTTCCAAATGCCAAGGAGGGCAAGTGCAGTGACCGGAGTGGTTTTCTGAGAGAGTGGGTGGGGCCAGCCAGGCTGCCATCAGAACTGTGGAACTGACTGTTCCCCACAGACTCTGGCCTAGAAAAAAAAAGCCTGCAGCTGTATCTACAGGGCCTGTTGTTGTTTGCTGCGGTGTGTTACAACACAGCCTGGCAGCCTCCAGGACCTTTCTGTCTTCCTCCTGGAAGAGCCTGGTCCCAGAGCATGTGACATGACCACACAGCCCTGCAGATTTGCCCATATTGCTCCTCGCTGTTCCCTCAATTACCAGGCTTTTCCAGGTCTGTGTGCTTTTTGCTCACGCCATCCTCTGCAGTCTGGGAATCCCCTTCCTTCCTCTTCCACATCCCTCCATCTGGCAAACACCATCTTTGAAGACTCCATCTTTTAGGACTCAGCTCTAGTGTCACCTCTTCAATGATGCCTTTCCTGTCTTTCCCAGGAAGAGCCAATTGTTCCTTCCTTGGAGCTGTCCACTGTATCCCAAGTGGTACTGACAGGTAATGTGGATGTTACTATCTCCTTGGCTAAAGCCGTCAAGGGCTGGGACAGTGTCTTCTCACCTACGTTTACTCTGCACACAGTTCTTGCTATTAGATTTTTTTTTAAAATTATTTGAGAGAGTGCATGCGCATGAGCAGGAGGAGGAGGAGGAGGAGGAGAGGAACAAGCAGACTCTGTGCTGAGCCCAGAGCCTGAGAGGGGGCTCAATCTCACAACCCTGAGATCATGACCTGAACCAAAACCAAGAGTCCCACACTTAACCGAGCCACCCAGGCGCCCCTATTAGTAGATTCTTAGTCAATTGGTGTTGGAAACTTTTAGAACAAATCATTGAAGGATAAAAGGTTGGGTTTGGATTTAATTACCAATGTGTTGTTGAATTAATGTATGGATAAATTGTTGCAGTGCCATCTGGTAAAAAGGGAAACTTTTGGCATTAAGTCAGGGCCCTTGCCCTTGAGGAGGTTTCAGTGTTGGTTCTATTTGTCCTTTCTGCAGGCACTACCTCCTGAAGGTGGGGATGATGATTTGTTGAAGAGGCTCTTCATAAATACCTAAATGACCAACATGACATAAGGCAGAAAGCAGATTTGGAGATAAGAGATGTGGTTTCTGATCTGGTTATGAGACATCAGGTTTCCAAAGGTGACTATTAAGTTCCATACCTATGGGACTTTAGGTTTGTTTCCTCAAAAGTGAGGGGATTGAGTTAGTTATCCCCTAAAGCCTAGGTGCAGCCTGCTCAAGTCCCTCTCCTGAATCTCTATGAGGAACTACTCAGGGGCAGCCAGCCTTCTGGCTGGAGGAGTTTGGCCACTCCTGAATCGGAGTTTGCTCAGCAGGTCTACCCTTTGCGGATGACAGGGGTGGGGTGGGAAAGGGGGATCAGAAAACACAAACATTTTTTTAAGGCCCTTTGGCGTTTCAGTTGCCTCCTATCTCATGCTTGAAAGGCAGAAAGTCATGGCCAAGCACGGTCTTCACAGTCACTTAGTGTCCATGGGAAATGCTACGTGCTAAATTCATTCTCAAGGGGTGCCTAGGTGGCTCAGTCGTTAAGCATCTGCCTTCGGCTCAGGTCATGATCTCAGGGTCCTGGGATCGAGCCCCGTGTTGGGCTCCCTGCTCAGTGGGGAGCCTGCTTCTCCCCCTCCCACTCCCCCTGCTTGTGTTCCCTCTCTCGCTGTGTCTCTCTCTGTCAAATAAATAAATCTTTAAATTCATTCTCAAGATGGGATTTCCCGGGGCGCCTGGGTGGCTCAGTTGGTTAAGCGACTGCCTTCGGCTTAGGTCATGATCCTGGAGTCCCTGGATCGAGTCCCGCATCAGGCTCCCTGCTCGGCAGGGAGTCTGCTTCTCCCTCTGACCCTCCTCCCTCTCATGCTGTCTCTCATTCTCTCTGTCTCAAATAAATAAATAAAATCTTAAAAAAAAAAAAAGATGGGATTTCCCCAGGCTCAACTGGGCATTTTTGACTTCCTGGCGCTAACCTAGTCTGCTTACCTGACACAAACAGTCGGGCCTACCCTACTCCATCCTCTGACGGCTGGGTAAACAGACCGGAGGGCAGAGTTTTCAGAGATACGATTCAGATGTGAAATCAACTAGCTTGTTTAGGCATGAGTTTCTCTGGAGGTGAGAGATGGTGTGAGGGGGCGTCGGTCAGTTTCCTCCATCCCTTCCCTCCGGCCCCACAAAGGCCAAGGGCCAGACACGTGGGCTGGCGTGGAGAGGCGGAGTTTACACTAAGGCGGAGGTGCAAATGGGCGGGGGCGGGGTCTCATTTGCATGGACGGCGCGCGGCCACCAATCCGGACAGGCGGAGAGACAGCCCGCGCGCCTTTTGGGGGCGGACTGACAGCCCCGGGGCCCTATGGAAGGCGGGTCCTGCGGCCGGCGGGGGCGGGACCGCGCCGGGCGCTGCCCGGGGGATTCGGGCCGGTTCGCGGGCGCTGCCAGTCTCGGGCGGCGGCGTCCAGCGCGCGGACGGCCTGCTGGGCGGGCTGGGGGCTGAGTGGCGCGCGGGTGAGGCAGAGAGAGACGGGGCCGAGGAGCAACCACGGCGACAGGTACCGGCGCCATGGCCGCAGGGATGGGGCGGGCGGCCGCGGCGCCCCGGGAACCGAATTCCCTCCTTTGCGGTCCGGGGGCCGCCGCGCTGCTTCGGCGCCCCCTCACGCACGGTTCCCCAGCCCCCCGAGCGGTGCTTCGGGGCGAGCGGTGCCGGGGAAGCCTCGAGGCGAGCGCGCTGGATGCCCCTAGCCCAACTGCGGGGCCCCTGTGCGCCCTGCCGGCCCTCGGGGCCGGTGCTCCCTACGGGAGGCGCGGACTCGGGCGGCCGCGAGAGCCGCTCCCCGCCCCCGCCGCACTCCCCCTTGCGGAGGCGAGGCCGGTCGCGCCCGCTCGTGCTCACCCGGCTTTTGTTTCCCGCCCGAGGTGACAGGTCCCGGCTCCGGCTCCCGTCGGCGGTCCCCGACTCGCCCGAGGCCCGGCGCCTGTGACCGCGACCGCCCGGAGCAGGCTGCGGGACCCGCCGAGAGCCGGGCGGCGCGTGAGCAGCAGCTGCCGCGGGCGGGAGAGAAACTTCGCCTTCTGGGGCCCGGGCGGCGGGCGAAGTGAGCCGGGGTGAGCCGTGCGCCGGGACGCCGCGGGCGTGATGGAGCCGCGCACACCTGGCGGGGCCGGTGGCGGGCGAGGATAACGGAGTGTCCCACTGCTGCGCTCCTCGCTTTCGGTTTGCGCTCCCCGGGCGGTGGGTGTGGATGCGTGTTCTCCGCCTTCACCTGCCGCCATGGGACAAGTGACTGGGATACAGCATCCCGGTTCTCGGCCGTTCTTGGAGGGTGCCAGTGCAGCGCCGTTCTAACAGGTGATTATTCTCGCGCCAGGTGAAAAGCCCGTTAAAACTTGATTTAGGGCTCATTATTCGGTTCACTCCTAGAACGTTAGAACTCCTTCCACTGATGTCTGAAAAGGTGTGCTCGCGACAGTATAGGAGTCAAATCCAGTACTGATTTAAAAACAACAACAATTTGAGGGGTCAGCGTGTAGATTAATTGCCTTCTTTCCGTGGACGAGCCTGGAGGAACATTGTAGTCTTACTTTAAAAAATCGGTTTCTGCAGTGGTGGCGAAAGCATGGTAAGGTACAAAGTTAGTAAATGGGGAATGCAGAACTCTAGATATCCTTCAGTGTGGCTCAGGACAGCGTGTACAGCGTTTGGCCGCCATTCAGTGAATTCTGCATGAAGTAGTTTGAGCTCGTGGTTTTGGATTTACTTTTCAGGGGTATGTTTTCCAGTGGAATAAGGCTTAGCATTGAATGGGAGCTTTCTTTGCCTCGCTGAGGGTAGACAGGAGTGTTTATTTTCATTGTCTTACCATTTTGTTAGATTGTGGACAAGGGAAAAGTTAAGGCATATTTCAGTTAAGTATTTTTAATAGTCTATGGAATTCTGCCCCCCCCCCCCGAGGGTTTTTACTTTAGAGAATTAAAGTAAGTAGCTGTTTCTCTTGGTGTTTGAATCAAAATTCAAGGATACACTTGAAAAATTTTTTATTCTTTTTGGGAAATCTTTATTTGTCATACTTTCACTTACCATTTTCTCTTCGTCTCTCTCCCAACTGACCTCTACTTAATCTACAATTATGGCCCTGACCAATGTAGGGCATCTACAGAAAAAATACATTTAAAAATAATATATAACAACTATTTTTAAAATGTAGTTTATACATATTTAAATTTATTTGTAACACTTGATTTAGCTTAATTTTTTTCTAATGTGTCTTTTATATCCATTGGGGATGATTTATGTTTAACAGAAGTGTAACTTCTTAGGAACAAAGTTATAATTTTGATTTAATTATGCTACTTTAGTAGTATTTCACTGAATTGTGATTTTACTATTTACCTAGCTAATTAGTAACACCATTTAAAGCTGAACCCTTTAACCAATAGGCTAGTTGTGACTGGGATTTTTAAAAACAAAATCAAAGATGGTCTTTAGAAAATGTTTTATATCTCTAAAAACAACAGGCTTAAATGTTATGAGGTCTTTGTCTTTCCAACATTTAACAAAACATATTTTTCTGAATCTTTAATTTTTTTAGTTGTAATTTTAGGTGAATTTCTTTTTTTAAAACATAATTTTAATCAGTTCAACATGAAAAACTTAAAATACTGGATTAGGCAACTAATTAAATCTTCAATTTTCTGTTTATTCTTGGATTCGAAAAGAACACATATTTTGGATTATTTAGTTTCTTAAAGGTTTCTTAGAATGACTCAGTCTAGAGAAGAAAGAACATCCTCTTTCTGTAGCTATAGAAGAAGTTATTGCTATTAAAGCTGAGTTGTCTTTTTGATGCTCAGGGTAGATTGGTTGAACAGTGACTCGTCCTGTAGAGTGGGTTTTATTCTGTATAAATAGTTGTAAGGAATCTTGTAAGTCTGGGGCTCCTCATCGTTTTGGATGAGTTAAGTAATTGTTCTTTAAAGTCTATAGGAATATATTAGTTTTAACTACTATGTGTAATTTACTATGTATAATAAATATTATAATCTTTATCCTAAGGTAATGTTTAAATATACCACATGATAAATTTATATTTCATAGTTTTATTTACACAAAAGCATATTTTAGGGACTTTATAAAAATGTCTTTTTTTTTTTTTTTAAGATTTTATTTATTTATTTGACAGAGAGAGTGAGAGAGCACAAGCAGGGGGAGCAGTAGAAGGAGAGGGAGAAGCAGGCTTCCCGCTGAGCAAGGAGCCCGATGCGGGGCTCCATCCCAGGGCCCTGGGATCATGCACTGAGCCGAAGGCAGACGCTTAACCATCTGAGCCACCCAGGCGCCCCTAAAAATGTCTTTTAATTAAAAACCCATTTTCAAATTCTGTTTTTAGATATTTTACTGGGTTTTTTTGTCCACTTTAACTTGTGGTAGACCATATCATAAAATTATCAACCACATTTCAGTTTCAAAATTAAGCATAAGTTGAATTCTCACATCTACATGGTAAACATTGTGTGTTTAAGTCGTTTATCCTCAGGTGTGGTTCCTTTTGAGTTTGGGGGTAGGCAAATACTTTTGAATGAATAAAGCCACAAAAAACAAGGGCATTTATTAAAATAGCTAATTTAAGGATAAATCAGATGACACTTTTAGACATGAATATGGCTTTGATAGTAATATGCATGTTATACCCAAGGATATCTCTGTACAGGCCTTTACTATAATTTTTCACAATTCCTAAAGAAAAAAATCTGTACATATATATTTTTAAAGATTTTATTTATTCGTGAGAGAGAGGGGCAGAGGGAGAAGCAGGCTCCCCACGGAACAGGGAGCCGGACTGGGACTCAATCCCAGGACCCTGGGATCATGACCAGAGCCGAAGGCAGATTCTTAACTGACTGAGCCACCCAGGCACCCCAAGAAAAAAATCTATATTGTACATATTTTGGCACACCAAATTCTCTAATTATTTAATACTGAACAACTAAATATGGACATTTTATGATGCTGAAACTATTTGAACTTTTATTTATTTATTTATTTATTTTTTAAAGATTTTATTTATTTATTTGAGACAGAGAGAATGAGAGACAGAGAGCATGAGAGGGAGGAGGGTCAGAGGGAGAAGCAGACTCCCTGCCGAGCAGGGAGCCTGATGCGGGACTCGATCCCAGGACTCCAGGATCATGACCTGAGCCGAAGGCAGTCGCCTAACCAACTGAGCCACCCAGGCGCCCCTGAACTTTTATTTTTTTAAATCTTTTTTAAGAATTTATTTTTTTTTTAGTAATCTGTACACTCAATGTGGTGCTCGAACCCACAACCTGGAGATCAAGAGTCACATGCCTCACCGACAGAGCCAGCCAGGCATCCTGAAACTATTTGAACTTTTTAACCTAGCTGATTAATAATTAGATTTTGGTTTGTTGTACATTTCTGAATTTTCTACAGTGCATTTTTTTTTTTTTTAATGATCTCTGGCCAGTTTTATTAAAGAAAAATTTTGCATGATTTACTTTTTACCAGTCTTTTCTGGCATGCTCCTAATGCTATCAGAATCGCCTGGATCAGTGATAACCAGTGTGCATACTCTGTAGTATTTTCCACATGCTGTGCCCAGTTCAATATTATTGCCACTTTAGTGATGGACACCAGTTTTGGCCAATGTGACATAGTACTCTATTTCAAATTTCCTCAAGGCAGGCAGTTGTTGGCTAGGATGACCAGTTTTGCTTGGCCGTGTACCCCATCATGTACTGTCCACTTACATTGAGTTGGAGCCTAGAGATAATTGACTCCAGTGACTTTCTTCTGTGCAGCCACCATCTTCTTGCCTTAGGTGCGGGACAGTCCCCAACAAAGAGCAGTTGCCAAGATGGCCAAGGAGGGAGAAAGAATCTATAGTACATTTTTAACTTCCGATAATATGTCCCCAAAGTGTAAAGAAAATTAAATCTACACACATAGGAGATTGGTTGTTGGTATGAAAGTAACTATTAATTTAAAAACAGTAGCCACTGAAGTGTGATTTAACTTGCAAAAAAGATACATACCAAGTAAAAGACTCTCTGTCAAAAGAGCCTGTTATAGGCCTTATGCACCCTGTAACTAATCTGTAAAACAGGTTACTAAGGATATTTTAGCAATATTTGAAACACTAAAATTCAAGTACTCAAAATAACTTGTATCTCACAGTTTGTTATGAAAAGAATTGGTCTGTACTCAGCTGAAACTTAAACATGTAAGACTATAATCCTTAAATGGAACAAGTTAATTTTATGCTCAATTTAGTATTCTAGTCTTTTGGAAAACATCTAGTTAATGAGAGTGAAGGACCACCAGAGGGAGTATGGGGTCTGCACATTTGCTGTATCTGTTTCCTACTCTTGGTCTGGAAGAAAAACATTTTAAAAATAAGAAGATTGTAATTCTCTAAAACAGGAAAAAGATAATGAAAGTTGGGGGTTGTAGCTGTTTAGAGCTGTGTCGTTTTTGTAACAGTTAATCGAGGCTGTTTTCTTGTTCTTTTAGAAAATGGTACAATTATTAGAAAAATAAAAATGATGTATTTTCAGAGTGAGTAATGGGTTAAGTAAATAATTACACATCTGCGAAAGTTAGGGAACATCCAAATGCTAAGAATGTTTTTTAAGATTAAAAATATAGTACATTAGAATTGTGTGTTCTTGAAGTTGCTCATTTGGGGGGAGGAGGAATAAAAGATGAACAAAGATAGAGCACCTTTAGAAGAGGGTTGTTTCCTCCTTTTCTAGTTGCAAACCCTTCCTAAAGCAAGCAATGGTAAATTTCTAGAACCATTTGTATCATTCTGCCTCCATCTTGGCAATTTATAGGTGATGTTAAATGAAGAGCCACTTCTAGTCCCCTGAAAAGGATCATCTGATTATCAAAAGCAGGGTTGGGAATTTCAAATTGATCTCTTCAAAAATCAGATTTGTATGTATGTTTCTTAATGTTACTACCTCTGGAAATTAAAGAATCTCCTCTACTTTCAGCTGAAAATTACACAGTGGAATTTCAAAGTCAAGATGTGTTTGTCATAGACTTAATGCTGCAGTAAATTACTTTTGGGGATGGAGAAAACATCCTAGAGATTGAGTCCTTTTCAGAATATAGTCTCAATGAAGATGGAATGGTCTTTACCCATGTTAAGTATTAGCCAATGGATTATTTCCCTATTTAACTTTTTTAAAAAGCAAGACAATAAGATAAAAACTTGTAATTTTAGCACATATTTTGGGTTTTATCCCTGGAATAAAAAATTATTATGTAGTGGAGGTAACATTTAATGTTTTGAAGTTCTAGTTTGGGGAGGGAATTTGTTATGAGAAGAAGGTATTTCATTGAAGCAGAACAGGGTAACTTATATGGAGAGAAATCTGCTTCTCTTTTAAATTATTCTTAGGTTAAAACATAATACTTATTAAGAAAAATTAAACGGACAGCTTTCCCATCTTAGATTTATTTTCACTCTGAACTTTATAAGTTTTTAAAAAATATCTTTGTTAGTTCCAGGTGAACTTCTCAGAATCTATTCATTTACACACACACACACATAGATAAAATATTTTTTTTGTATTTTATATAACTATATATTTTTGCTATATGTGCAATCAGTCCATCTGTCTATACTATATGACTTTACAGGCTTATTTATATGTGGGAACCCTCCCCTTTTTAAATGAAATCTTACTGTTTTAAGGGGAATGAAGTACACGTTCACAAAAAGATTGATGTAAAATGTTCATAGCAGTTTTTTTCACAATAGGAATGAACTGCTGCTTCACACAACATAAATGAATCTCAGAAATGTTATTCAGAGCAAGAGAAGCCAGGCACAAGTATGTACAAATGATGCCATTTATGAAAAATATAAGAACAGGCAAAACTTGGGGCGCCTAGGTGGCTCAGTCGTTAAGCATCTGCCTTTGGCTCAGGTCATGATCCCAGGGTCCTGGGATCGAGCCCCACATCGGGCTCCCTGCTCCGTGGGAAGCCTGCTTCTCCCTCTCCCACTCTGCCAGCTTGTGTTCCCTCTCTCGCTGTGTCTCTCTCTGTCAAAAAATAAATAAAAATCTTAAAAAAAAAAAAAAAGAACAGGCAAAACTTTAGGTGTGGTGATAGAAATCAGGACAGTGGTTTCTGGGTAAGGGTTGTGGTTGACTGGAAGGGGCAAAAGGGAACTTTCTGGGGGAGATAGAAGTATTCTGTAGCTTGACTTGGGTAATAGTAATTCAAGTGTACATTGGTTGGGTAACTTTTTATTTTCATAAAATTTTTAACTTACAGAAAAGTTGCAAGACCTAGTACAAGGAACATCCAGATTCACCAGTTGTTGGTGTATGCGCTTGTTCAAACTTACTGAGCTGACTACTTAAGATCTGGGCATTTTACGGTATGTAATTTTTACTTTAATGAGGAAAACTACAACAATTTGTTGAAGAGGACAATGATCTTGTTATCTGCAAAAAGTGAAATACCTGAATTCAGACTTCAGTATTTCCATAATGATGGAGAAAAAGAGAATTGTTGACAGTCTCTTTTGTCTTTACATATATGTATTTATGCTGCTTCTCTCTGAAGTTTCCTGGTGACATATTTTGTTAGAAGAAATAAGATTCTGAAAATGATTCAAGGCAGAACTGCCAGCAAGGAAACCCTGCTTGATTTTGTTATCCTATCCACGTCACATAGGGAATGAGACTGATAGCTAGCAATAGCTTTCTGGGAATTGAAGGTGGTGATTATTCCTGTTAGAAGAGTTGCACACCTACAGTGTGCTATGTTTTGCACAGACATGTATAGTTTTTATTGTCTTGGAACTTACAGATGAAGAAGAGGTAAACAAGTCTAGTTATCATTTTTTGGGTGGTGCTATTTATCATAGGGAGGAAAGATATGTGCTTGTAAACCACATATACTATTCTTGTTTATCAGTGAGTGGTAAATCTAAGCAGTCAGTTTATTCTCTATTAGTTGCAGTACTGTCATAGTCTAGTAGAGTGATATGATTTAAATTATATCCATTTAAATCCTAGCTTAAACTATTATTGTTAAAAACATTCAACTTTCCTCCTCTACTCATTAGTTTATATAACTTTAAATATATGGGGTTTTTTTTGCATTTTAGGGTTAGGTATAATTTATGGATATTGGTTTTGTTTTTAAATCTTTTTCCTTTTTTTTTGCATCTCCATAAAAAAGTTGTTTATTTGATTATTTACTAGAGTGTAAGATGTTTGAAATAATACTACAGCTAATCAGCACATTCAACAAATTAATCATTGATACTGGGGATAAATGTTTATTTTGCCTTTACTAACCAAAACCGTATGTTTATATGGACTATATATTTTCTTCAACAAAAATTATAAGTTCATTGAAGAGAAAAATAACAAATGTCCAACGTCAACCAACACGGATAAGAGGATTTTTTTCCATTTAATGAACATACTTATATTCCTCTAAAATGACACAGGATCTTTTCTCCCTTTCATACACATTAAATTTCATTGGTCTATTGAGAATGAATAAAACATTATTTGAAAAGATTTTGTACCTCTGAAACAAATAATACATTATATGTTTAAAAAAAAAAAAGAATAGCAGGAAGGGAAGAATGAAGGGGAAATCGGAGGGGGAGAAGAACCATGGGAGACTATGGACTCTGAGAAACAAACAGGGTTCTAGAGGGGAGGGGGGTGAGGGCATGGGTTAGCCTGGTGATGGGTATTGAAGAGGGCATGTACTGAATGGAGCACTGGGTGTTATACGCAAACAGTGAATCATGGAACACTACATCAAAAACTAATGATGTAATGTATGGTGATTAACATAACATAATTAAAAAAAAAAGAAAAGATTTTGCCTGTTAGAATTTTGTTATGAGCTGTCAAGTCTTAACTACAGATAGAATTTTTTTTAAAGATTGATTGATTGATTGATTGATTTGTCAGAGGGAGAGGGAAAGAGAGAAGGAGAGAGCACAAGCAGGGGGAGCAGCAGACAGAGGGAGAAGCAGGCTCCCCGCTGAGCAGGGAGCCTGGTGCAGAACTTGATCCCAGGATCCTGAGATCATGACCTGAACTGAAGGCAGATGCTTAACCGACTGAGCCACCCAGGCGTCCCCAGATAGATTTTTTAAGATATCTGGGGTGCCCAGGTGCCTCAGTCGGTCAAGCATCTGACACTTGATTTTTGGCTCAGGTCATGATCTCAGGGTAATGAGGTCGAGCCCCACCTTGGGCTCCGCTGGGGGTGGAGCCTGCTTGGGATTCTCTCCCCCACCCCTTTCCGGCCCCTCCCCCAACTTGTGCTCAAGCACTCTCAAAAAAAAAAAAAAAGGAATTTTTAAAATATCCGCAGGTAGGCTTTTTAAAGATTTTTTTATTATGGAAGTTTTAAGCTACACAGAACTGGGGAGACTAGTATGAACTTCCATAGACCTGTTCTCCAGATTTATTAATTATCAGCATTTTGGTTAATGTACTTTTAAGTTCTCACCACTATTGTAAAATAGTAGTAGTATTGGTGCATCAGATTTTTCTCTCCATTTTTTCCAAAAGTTTTGTTACAAATAGAGAAACTTCAGAAGACTTTGGACAAATAGTAGTTATGAAGCTGTTTTAATCCTTAGCTTTTTTCTGTCAATTCATAGCCTGAGAAAAAAAATTAATTTTTTAGCTTTTCATTTAGAACAAAGCAGTCCAAATATTCCATATCTGTATGATAAGTATTATTCATCTGGAAGGTTAGGTTATTTTCAAAGTGTATTATCCGAGGAATGCTGTTGTTTTAAATGTTTTTCCATAACCACCTCTTTCTCTAAAAACTTAATCATTACTCTGCTTTCTAGACCACAAATCTGTATCTTCTGTCTAAACTTGAGGCCCAAATTTTCACCTATGTCTTGAAACTAAATATGTTTAAATACCATCTCTGTAGCAGCTGCACACCAGGACCCCCTCACCTCCCCTTCCCTCACCTCCCCTTCCCTCACCTCCCCTTCCCTCCCCCCCCAGCTGAAAAGCTCTTCCCAGTTTTCCTCTTCAGCTGTTAAAAACTTCATTAATCTTGTTGGTCATTTTTTTTTTTTAAGATTTTATTTATTTATTTGACAGAGGGAGACACAGCGAGAGAGGAAACACAAGCAGGGGGAGTGGGAGAGGGAGAAGCAGGCTTCCCGCCGAGCAGGGAGCCTGATGCGGGGCTCGATCCCAGGACCCTGGGATCATGACCTGAGCCGAAGGCAGATGCTTAACGACTGAGCCACCCAGGTGCCCCTCTTGTTGGTCATTTTTACTCTTACTTCCTAAGCTCATTGAGTCACTAAAACAGTTTGTTTCTAACTTTACAATGATTCTTTTTATCTTTTTGTCCTTTTCATTTTCAGTACAATAATTCTAATTTGGTTAACATGTTAAAACAGGAGATTATACCTAATCTATAATGAACTTCATATATGTGAAAAGTAAGCTATGTTCCTAAGGTAAACTAAGGCATTTTCTTCCCTTCCAGAAAACTTCAGTCAGCCTTCTATAGGCCAAGACATCATTTTTAAGGCCTAGGTGTTCACTGTATTTAAACTAAGGTTCTATATAAGACTTCAAAACCACTCAGCTCAGATAACCTGGAGTACAGTGGCTGGCAGGGCCCACAGTTTATCAAGGAGGGGCAGTGTGTAAGCAGCAAACTTCATTAGACCATAGAAATGGCCCAGGATGAGTTCCTTCCAGCCCAGAATATCTTGAAGTGCTTTGCAGTGGAGGAAATTCTATGTGTATATAACACATTTTCAGGACTTCCTGCTGTTTTTAAGGCGAAACGTACCAGTCTATGGGTTTACCTTAAAACTTATCCCTCTTGCCATATTTCCTGGCCAAGATAGTTCCTGTCTAAAAGCCACCTTTGCTGAAAGTGACATGATACTCTCTTCATTTCTTTTCTTTACAGGCTCCTGGAATTGACGTTTGTCAGAAAGATAGGAGCCTATGGTTAGTTAAGAGGATATAAAATAGAAACGGGAAAAAAAGATATATCCATTATTTTTCCCACTAGCTGTCATCCAGCCTCCAGGGGTCTTGAGTCTGATTCCTTTCCAAATGTATTGTAGTTTATCAACTTGGCTTGCTTTTGGTCAGCTTCCGGAGATCTTTTTTCTTTCTGCCTTTCTGGGAAATGTTTGAATCTCCTCCTGGTGAGAATCAGGACCCAATTTGAGATTACTGACTTTGGGAATAAAAGAATAAAATTCTGTATTGCTTTACATAATCCAGAATATCTGGTTATTTTCTTCTGAGGGAATTAGGAATAATATGTGGATTCTGAGATGCTTATGCAGAAACTAATTTAATAGTTATTAAGAGTGGAAAATGGAGTAGTAAAATACATTTCTAGGAACCCTAGTCTGGTAGGAGTAGACATTGGGGTGAGATTCAGTAGCTATACGATCTTGGGCAAATTAAAATCAACCTTCTGAGCCTTATTTTAATTGTAAAATGAGTGGGTTGGATTAGGTAGTATTTTAAGGTTTCTTTGCAGCTTTGAAATTCTAAAATGAATGGTTTCTCAGGAAAAAACTCCTCTAATTTATATACTGTTTCTAGCAAGTGATTTTTCAGTTGTTTTATATTTTTTTTTATTTCCTTTAGACGTTAGGAAAAGGAATAAAGGAGTCAGAATTCCTAAAATGGACTAGATTTTAGTGTTATTTATCTACGTTTCTCCACTGAATTTATGCTGGACTCTTACTTTCTACCTTCTCTTTGTGTCCATTTTCTTTTACTGCTTTTTCTTTCCTTTACAGTGTGACTTTCATATCCCTCGTTTCACTGCATTTTGCTACTGCTTTTTTTCTAGCTGTTCTTCACTGCTCATATTTCATTATGGGCATGAACTTTATCAAATATACCCTTGAGTCTGAGCTATCACTAAATTAACTCTAGATATCCTAATGGTTGTTAGGATTAACGGAACCTTTCTACTCTATAATACAAAAGCTTAGAGAAGTCCAAGCATAAAGGGAGTGAGGGAGCCTGAAGGGAGAATGAGTGGTGTGGAAGAGAGTTTCCCAGGATTATTCTGATATTTTGATTTAAAATATAAGTTAAAATACTTAAGTCGATGATGGTGACTCTGCCAGTGATGGGAGGGTTTGGTCCCGAAGTCCTGCTCTGCTACAAGTTTCCTGAGGGCAGCAGCTGTACCTCTGGTCCTGAATCCTTAGTGTGCGGGGTCATGCTGCCAAGTAGGCACATGTTGAACTCATTTGTCATTAGGACTGATTCTTCAAGGTGTTCTGTGGTAGACTGCAGATTACGAGTGTAGTACAGTCTCTTAAGACCATCACTACCGCTGTGTGATATTGAACAACATATATAGCTTCTCTGAGCCTCG